AGGGTCAGGGTGCCACTGTGGCCAGATTGGGGAGGGTCCTACTGTATGAAATGAAGTATTGCCTGATCTAGAATTTCAAATAAAGCAAGTTAAGACCTTTATGTTAAACTGCTTTAATTTTAAAATTTGCTTTTTATTATCTACAACACCAGGATATAGTCTGACACAATCACAGAAGCGTGGAACACAACTCGCTCCAATTCAGTCCCCAGTGTAAGATTCACATTCTCTTTTCTGTCAAAGTTAAACCGATAGTCTGAGTTTCCTCATACGTAACAAAAAAATGTGTTTGCTGTCATCTAAACCATGTGGTTGAAATGTAGCTATTTTGAGGCCCCCAATATATCTCCCTTTGTCCTCATAATGCCTGCAGTGTAGGAAATCATCTGATCATAACTACAACCCTTCCCCTTGCCCTCCCCTCTTTTAAATTAGTCAATCACTTGGACTGTAACTCCAACTCCTCCTATCAGAGCAAGGGGCAGTGCCACCTCAGGGATGAAGCCCTGGGCACACTTCCTGCCCAGTGTACTAGTTTGCCAGATGTTTTGATAGCACTACCTTCTGCAGAAGTAAAATTTGCCTTGCCGAGTAACTTACTTAGTGCGTGTCTGAATTCTTGCGGCACCCTGATATTTCTAACACCAGCACCCACTCCCTTCCATCTTCTTCAATCCATTTACAGTTTATTTTGTTTTTTAAATTATTGTTCTGGGGCTGGGGATGTGGCTCAAGCGGTAGCGTGCTCGCCTGGCATGTGTGCGGCCCGGGTTCAATCCTCAGCACCACATACAAACAAAAGATGTTGTGTCCACCGAAAATTAAAAAAAAAAAAAAAAATCATTGTTCTGTAGATACACCTGATGTGGGGACTCCTCTGCCATATCAAGGTGCACGTACCAAAGTTTGGCCGTTCCACTGTTCTTCCCTTTTCCTGTCCCTCCTTCCTTCTCCTCAATCTCCTTGTCTACTAATCTTTTCTCTACTTCAATGAAATTCCTTCTCCCTTTTTCCCCCTCTTTTTTATGAATCATCTCTCCCCTTATTTTTGTGTAGCTTCCACATACCGACGAAAACATTTGATCTTTGACTTTTTGGGGACTGGCTTATTTCATGCAGCATGAATCTCTAGTGCTGTAACAATAACCAGGGAGTCAGCATGAACTGGTGCTACCGTGATCCCCAGCTGCTAAGCAGGTGCTTTTGGGACAATCACCTGTGCCTGGGGAATGTGGGGAAGAACCATTGCTAACCAGTGTTAAAACTCACTCACTCAAGTTGTTTTCTGTTTTTGTCTCAGGTAAGAGCCTCCTGAGAATCTTACAAGGAGCAAATCAAAAAGAGTCCTTCAGACTCTTTCCTTTTAGATGACCTCAGAGTAAACTTTGTTCTTTATAATGTTAAATTCTCCTTAGAGGAAGGCATTCCCATCTGCCATTTTTTGAATATGCAAAGCATGACCTTGAACTGAATTCGCCTTTCCTATATATCACAAGAAAATAACATAGACTGGACAAATTTGTGTCTTTCCACAATATCAGAATTTATTGACTAACAATAAATTCACAAGATACATCAATTCCATCAGCTTTAATTCAGAGTCCTCTCAGATTCACCTAGTGTCATGACACTGGCAATCCCCAAGTTCTTTCATTCCATTCCAATCTTAACTACTAATATCTATAACTCAAATCACACACCACACAATGATATATATTACAGAAAAGGCTGAGAGAGGATGAACTGCAAGTGTCATCTATGGCAGTAAAATGTCCAATAGGATAAGAACTGGGTCCTGGAACTCCACTTCTGCAGAAAACCAACACCCAGAAAACCAACACCAGTGTACCAACAGTGGTACACGCTTGTAATCCTGGAGACTTGGGAGGCTGAGGTAGAAGGATTTCAAGTTTGAGGACAGACTGGGTAACTTGGTGAGACCCTGTCTCGAAATAAATAGAAAGGGTTGGGGATGTGACTCAGTGGCAGAATGCCCCTGGGTGGAAGGAAGGAAGGAAGGAAGGAAGGATCAAATAGGGACTCAATTAAGTCCCTACTATTATGCTTGCAGCAAAAGCAGAATTACAGTTCCTGTTTCCCCTCCACCTTCACATTCCTGCACAGGGAAGTCAGCTGGCACAGTCCAGGCCACCTGCAGAACAATTTGTTGTCATTATCTTTTATTCCTCCATGGTTCATGGCAGGGATGGAATGAAAATGAGTATGTCCTTATTATCTGCTCAGAAAGCAAAAACCTGAAAATACCAGCATTTGCAGACTTGGAAAGGATTAGACAAATTCTCTTTCCCTGCTGGGTAGGGTGGACATGGACTTTCTGGTCAGCAATTTAATAACATGCAGTATAAGTTCATTTGACCGGAAATTGTTCATCTTCACATTCGTTGTAAAAAAAAGAATCAGAGATGTGCAAAAACCATATGCACATGAATAGTTATCATGGTGTTATTGATAACAGCAAAAGGTTGAAATAACACCGTGGGGCACTTGACTGAACTGTTTTCCCCAAACTTTTTTTGTATTTTGATGTGTATTATAAAAAAATGCTTAGAAGAAAGTGCATGATGAAAATAACAGGAATAGTTTTAAGGCTGACCTGGCCTCACCATGCACCAGGTCCCACAGGGAGCACTTTACATGGATTATCCCACTTAATCCTCACAACTCTCTGAGAGTTACTGGTACTGTTGTGGTGTAAACTAATCAAAATCAGTAAGAGTGTAAGTATAGGTTACAGATTAGTAAAAAATATAGATTATAGATATGATAAGTGAGATAAGACAATTACAAAGCAAGAGCTGTCACAGACAGGCCTAAGACTCCATTTTGCTGCCTTCTTTAAAAATAAAAACTGTTACAAGAGCTGTTTCTGAGAAACTGAAATGAAAGCTATAAAAACTGTTTTTCTGTACTTTGTACTCCACAAATTATACCTTACTCAGGACGCAGTGGTGATCATGGAGAGTTACATCCTGGGTTTGAGTGCACTTGTGGGTATACATGAATTTGAAATAGATTCTATCCCTGGCCGACCCCTGTTCAAAGTCAGGATACTGCTGTCTCGCACCTGTTTGAACCCGGAAATGTGGTTAACTGACTTGCAAAGCTGATTGCCTTTTCTCTACTTCTGTCCTTGATTGCTAACTGGAAAATTCCAGCCCTGCTTAGAGCTCCCAGGTCCCACTAACTATTGTTTTAATTTCTGTGATTGGCTTACTTGCATGACACTAAGGAAAGCCCCTGAATTGTGGTTTTCATCTAGAAATTCCCAGGATACAGGCCAGGAAGTTGCTGTTCTCCCACAGAGCTTCAGTCTCTATGGGTGGGTGACAGTCCTGGCCAGGTAAATAAAGCTCTCAATGATCTGAATTTGGACTAAGAGTGTTTTCTGAAGCAGCTCCCCATAACAGTACTGTTCTCATTTTACAAATGAAGAAACAGATGCCAGATTAAATAATTTGCCAAAGTCACACAGCTCATGTTACAGAGTTTAGATCAAGATCCAGGTAATCTGATTCTAGACCCTCAGCCCTCCCCAGGAGCTCTCCCCCACTTGACATGTCACCTTCTTACTGGGGAGTTTTATGAGCTCACCATCTCCAACTGTTTCAGGTGCACTCTTGATGATAACCACATGATCCACATATATTCTTCTGTTTTGTTTTTGAAGACGTACCTACACATTGTTAAGTACACCCACAGCAACCAATGATTTTGGAGGCTTCTGCTTGGGTCCCTGGGGGTCATGGACTCATTCCTTACTTGTCTTGATTTTGATTACTTTTACCAACTGAAAAAAGCCCTGCTTCTTTGTCTATTAAATTATCACACATTTTTATTTCCTTAGAAAATAAAATACTAAGAAGAGAAAAAAACATCTGTTTCCACTGTTATAATACAATCTTTGTTCTTCTTTTGCTTTTGCTGGAATCTCCCTCTTTCTTATTAAAAAAAAAATTAAACCGATTTCTTTTAAATGTATGTACACACACACACACACACACACACACACACAGTCCTGCGGGTTCTCTTTCTCTGGAGAATCCTGACACAGGGTAGCATCCTGACTCAGAAAGATGCTCCCAATTTCCACCACAGGGGTCTACTTCCAGCCCCTCTGTTGGGGTTCCTTTCCCCAGCAAACAGCCCTGTTAGGTAAGGTTCCAGAAAGACAACCCCACAACTTACCTGCCACTCAGGGACTTGCAGCCCTTTCTCCTCGCCCCGCCAACAGGGGCAGCTCCAGTCTCTTGTCAGACTTCTTCGGGCACCAGTTACAGACAGGCTCTATGCTACCTCAAATCTTGGAGATACAAATGGCAAGCCCCCCAAGACAAGGGTGAAGCCCTGAGCCACGGTGGCTCCATGATGGAGAGGGGCGAGTGCACAACGGACCGAAGCTGGGCCAATTTCCCGCGAATGTCCTGTCGTGATTCCCAGCATCATCAGACACGAGGTATGCGAAGGGAGTTTCAGGTGGCCCCGGGACAGCCACGAGGTAAAGGTCACGACTCACTGTGAAGCCAACTTCTCTGCATTACAACAAAGGAGCCAGCCCGCTTGGCGGTTAAAGCCTGTGTTTTGAGTCGAGCAGATCGACCTTAACGATCCGGGTGCAACGGGCAAGGCACAAAACCCTGGAGGAGACCGTACCTTCAGCGGTTAAATGACAAAACGGTGTGCAAAGCTTCAGGCACACAGTGGGTACCCAACAGGTGGACAACTCCCGCAAGAAGGCTTGCGTTCCGGGCTGCGCCGGCGAACCGCCGCCAGGAATGGAGCGCACGAACCTTTGGCCTGCGCCGAGCCCTACGCCACAGAAGAGCTTCCCGGCGTGAGGCTGGGGACACGCTCCGCCTCGCTCTCCAAGCTCCTAGGGCTGAAGCCGAGCAGCAGCCCGTCAGGTCGCGGAGTTGGCGTGGAGGCGGAACTTCCTGCGGCAGCGCGCACGCGTGAGTGGAAGCTCCGCCCCGGAACTGCGGTCGACGCTGCAGCTGAGGCACTGCTGTGGTGGCTTCTGAGGCTGCTGACCCGCGCGTGAGGGAGCTGCGGCCCGGTCCCCGCTTTCCCCACGCAGTGAGTACCCGAGCAGAAACCCGGCCGGGGCGGGACCCGGGGCTCCTGGCGCGGACCTCGGCGGGCGGCTGGGTTCAGAGGGAGGCCGCCGAGCGCGCAGCACGCGGTCCTCGCGCCCAGCCCCCGTTCTTCGGGCTTCTGCCCCGTGGCCTCGGTTGTGAATAAGCTACAGGGGCGAGAGCGCGGGCCGCGCGGGGGAGCTTCCGTGCAGGTCTCTGCCGCCACCTCGACCCCGTCCTAGTGACAGTCCCCGCCCCCTGCCCACCGCGGTCTCAGCCGGCATCGACCGGCCTCCCTTCGACGGCGGTTTTTGATGTGCGTCACCTTCGCTTGTTAAGTGCGGGACGTGCGCGGCCCCATCCCGCGGACGGGGACACTGAGGCTCCCGGAGGTTGACACGTCCCAGACCCAGGGCTGTCGGGGGTGGGTCCGTATTGCGCAGGATCTGTTAACTTTGACGCGTGGGCCGAGTGCCACCCGAAGAAATTGCGCCTGGACGTTAAGTCACTTAACGTGACGAAAAAGCTGGGTGGGTTTTAACCCGTTTGGTAAAAGCCAGAGGGACGGAACAGGCATTTGCCTTCTTGGTTGAAGGAGGAAGCTCGGTGCACTTTTTTTTTTTTTTTTTTAAGAGAGAGAATTTTTTTTTTAATATTTATTTTTTAGTTTTCGGCGGACACAACATCTATATTTGTATGTGGTGCTGAGGATCGAACCCAGCGCCGCGCGCATGCCAGGCGAGCGCACTACCGCTTGAGCCGCGCCCCAGCCCCTCGGTGCACTTTTTAATAAAGCACACCCCAACCCCCAGACAAAAACTCAGATTTTTATTCTGTCTTCCAAATGGCTTAGGAATCAACCAAGCCCCATTCTCCATGCTTTATATAATTTCAGTTATTTGCGTAAAACACAAAACTTAGATATTATCAGGTCCCTTTCCCTTTTTTATAGATGAAAACACTAAGGTTGGGCTGGGGTTGTGGCTCAGCGGTAGAGTGCTCGCCTAGGACAGGCAGGACCTGGATTCGATTATCAGCACCACATAAAAATAAAATGCATTGTGTTGTGTCCATCTACACCAAAAAATAAATATTAAAAAAAAAAAAAAGAAAACACTAAGGTTCAGGAGACAATAAGCAGCCCTGCGCAGGGTCAGGCACGCATTAAATTTTGGGTCTGGAATTCAAACCAGGTTTACCTCATATGCCTTTGCTCCAGTTCCTGTGTCTCCTGTTCCAGGCCAAGCCACCTGTGCTGTGGGTGTATTTCTTTCTCTAGCTTGGAGCATCTTTTCTTGGCTGGAGCATCTTTGTTATAGCCATCTTTGTATTCTTAGTTCTTTGCAGGGCCTGGTACTTGATAGATTGCCCAGAAATTATTTGTTGCTTTAGAACCCCGTGCTTTTCAGTCACCAACCTAAAGGAACATTTCTGTCCTTTTTAGCAACCATGAAGTTGAAGGAGACAAAATCAAGGCCAAAGCCACCAAGCCGTGGCAAATTTCAGACCAAAGGCATCAAAGTTTTGGGGAAATGGAAGCAGGTGAAGATTGACCCAAACATGTTTGCAGATGGACAGATGGATGATTTGGTATGCTTCGAGGAACTGACAGATTATCGATTGGTCTCTGCTGTCAAGAATCCCTCCAATCTCTTCTCAAAGGAGAAGCTCAAGAAGAGAAAGGTACAAGCTGGTTCAGAAGAAGAGGAAGGAGAGTCTGGTTCTCCAAAGAAAAAGATCAAATTGAAGAAGAGTAAAGTTGTGGTACCAATTACTGAAGAAATCATTACTACCCAGAAAGACTTTGAAGTCAAAGATGCTGAGCCAGAGCCTCAGGGAGATGACACTATTTGTCCTGATTCAGAGGTAGGGGAGATAGCATCAGAAAGCCCAGAACATACTGTTCCAAAAAAGAAGAAAAACAAAGGGAAAAAAAGATTAGAGCCTTCGCAGAGCACTGCCCCCAAGGTACCAAAAAAAGCAAAGACATGGATGCCTGAGGTACATGACCAGAAGGCAGATGTGTCAGCTTGGAAGGACCTGTTTGTGCCCAAACCAGTTCTCCGAGCACTCAGCTTTCTAGGCTTTTCTGCACCCACACCAATCCAAGCTTTGACTTTGGTACCTGCCATCCGTGACAGACTGGACATCCTCGGGGCTGCTGAGACAGGTAAGGACAGCTCTGGCCAGAACAGGATTGCATCTAGATTGAGTTTGTAGCTGCCAGGTGGGAGAACTAGGGAGAGGGGGATGTTGAGAGCGTAACCAACAAAAGCAGTATAGAATGAAGTAGTTGAGAAGTCAGCCAGGTCTGGTTAAAATCTGCCTTTTCCTGATTTTGATATCCTAGCTTTATTTTTCTAAGCCCTGAAGGCCCCATTATAATGGAGAAAACAGCAGTAATTCTTACATTGCTGTGAAGATTAAATGCTATAGTAAATTTTACACAGTTCTTTGTAAATGACCTGCAAATGGTGGTTTTTTTCTGTTCTTGAGCCTTTCTGAATAGCTCAAAGGACTAATGTAAGGCTAAAATTGGCCTACTGGGGGGGTAAGTAGATGTTCATGAGGTTAAGGAAGTATCATCTTGTTCTCAAGACTTATCCAAATATAGAAAGGGCTGCTTTGGGAGTTGGTGAGTTTCTTGTCATTGATTTGAGTGTGGTGGATAGATACTGGGTATATTTCGTAGGTAGATGCAGGTGTGAAGAGACTTAAATTTCCTAATCCCTTGGGCTAAGATTTTGGGAAACAATGACCTATTGACTGGAGTATATTAGATTACCATCTGGGGAGGCGTTTGTACAGCTTCGAACTATTGGTCCAGCTAGACTAGCAGTATCTGGTAGAAATATAGATAATACAAACTACATATATAATTTTAAATTCCTGGGAGACATTTTTTTAAAGTTAGTAAAAGGTGAAAATTAATTCTAACAATACATACATTCTAATAATACATACGTACAATATTGTACAGTAGCCACCAAAAACTAGACTATCTAGACATGTTGTGCCTTGGGTTTTTGAAATAGTGGCCAAGAAAACTAGGGATATGGTCCTAAGTGAAAGTCATAATTTGAAGAGCAAAGAAACTCCATGAAAAGGGAAATGGAGGTAATAATAACAACTTAGGACATTTACTGGGCATTTAAAATGTGTCCTGAACTATGTCAAGTGCTTTATTTTGATGAACTCAGTTCCCATAACCACCCTGAGGTAGATGACATTATTACCATTTCATAAGTGAGGAAACAGCTTCACAGAAGATAGATGATGTCCCTAAAACTGAAAGGGTGGTAATGTTTGTATTCTAAGGTAGGCCTTTATGTTGTTAAACACTTTGCTGTACTGCTTTGCTATGTGCACAGTCCTGGAACTGGGTCTCTAGAAGGCAAAGGCAAAGTCTTTGTTGTCAGCCGCTATGACCAGAACCTGACATTTGGTTCCATAACACAACTTTCCCATACAATGCTATGCATATGCAAGTCTAAGACTCAAAAAGACTTGGGATAGGCCATGCATTTTGATTGGGGCTGTGGACAGACTGCTGACCATGCAGTAATGAATACATTCTTACTCCCAAAGGATACTGTGAGTTCCTTTGTAAGTCCTTTCCTCCCTGATAGCCCTCCCTCTCCCTCCCACCTACTTGTTTTGTTTTGGTACTAGGGATTAAACCCAGAGGTGTTCTATAACTCAGCCATATCCCCAGCCCATTTTATTTCTTATTTTGAGACAAGATTTCACTAAGTTTCTTAGTGCCTCGCTAAGTTGTGGAGACTGGTCTCAGAAATTTGTGATCCTCTGCCTCAATTGCTGGGTTTACAAGAGTGTGCCGCCATACCTGATCACCCATAGGCTTTCTATCACTGTAAATTCATTTGTGTTTTCTGGAATTTTATATCGTGGGCTCTCTCTCGCCCAGTGAGGAGGTCCATAGAACAGGATGTCAGCAGACTGCATCACAAATCACACTATACACATAGAGCACATTTTTCCATATCTTCGGTTGTATACAAAGTACATTCACAACAATTTGTGTTCTCATACATGTACTTTGGATAATGATGTTCATCACACTCCACAGTCATTTCCAAACCCCTGCACCTCCCTGCCCTGCCCCATCCAGAGTTTCTCCATTCCTCCCATGCTCCCCCTACCTACCCCACCATGAATCAGACTCCCTACATCAGAGAAAACGCATTTGTACCCCTGGGACTGGCCAACTTCATCTAACCATCCTCTCCAGCGCCATCCATTCACCTGCAAATAACATCTGGCTGTTTTTTACTCAGCATAATTTGAGATTAAGCCATGGTATTGCAAATATCAATGGTTTGTTCATTTCTTTTTATTGAGCAATATTCTGATGAATGAATAGAACCTGATTTAACCATAGAACATTTACGTGCTTTTCAAATTTTTCGTTATTAGAAGTAAACAATCGGTATAACAGTCTTTGTCTGGATATACTCTTAGGATTTCCATTGGGCAAATACCTGGGTGTGAAATGGCCAGGTTTTCTGGTAAATGTAACTTTTTAGGAGTTTTCCAAAATGATTATACTATTTTATATACCCACCAGGTACTGGAGTTCAAGTTGGTCCATTTCTTGCGAATAATTTGGTATGGTCAATCTTTAATTTTATTTTAGACTTCTAAAATTTTAGTGTTATTTCCTTGTGGTTTTAATTTGCATTTCCCTAGTGATGAATGATTTTGAGCATCTTTGCCTGTGTTTGTCATCCATACCACCTACTTTGCTGATGTCTCTTTATTTGAGAGTTCATTATGCTTTCTAAGTACATATCCTTTATTGGATATGTGACTCGAAATTTTTTTCCCCTAGTATATGGCTTGTCTTTCCATTTTTTTTAGCAGTGTTTTTTGAAGAACAGAAGGTCTTTGGGGCTGGGAATGGGGCTTAGTGGTAGAGTGCTTATCTAATCTTTCAAGGCTCTTTGTTTAATCCCTAGCACTGCAAAAAAAATAAGATAGGAAAAAAAACCTTTTTTTTTTACTTTGATGAAGTTCAAATTATCAACTTTTTCTTCTGTGGATGGTGTTTTATCTAATAACTCTTTGCCTGAGTCAAGATCACAAAGAATTTTTTCCTGTTTTCCTCTAGAAGTGTCACTCTTCTTTAAGTCTTAGCTTTTAAGTTTTTTGTTTTAAGCCTTATGTTTCAGTCTGTGATTCTTATTGACTTAACTCTAATGTATGGTAGTGATCAAAATTATTTTTGTTTTTTTACCTATGGATATTTAATTATTCTAGCACCATTTATTGAGAGACTATTCTTCCCACTGAATTGGCATATTTGTTGAAAATCATTGATCTACTTGTCTGTATCCATCAGTACTATCTCATTAACTTGCTTGTAGTAGCTATAAGTTTTAAATCAGGTTTTTGTGATTTTAAGCTTAGTCCTTCTTAAAAGTACTGTTGGTTATTTTAGGCCTTTGCATTCCCATATGAATTTTAGAATAAGTTTATTAAAAAAGCAGGGTGATATTTGGATTGGGATTACATTGATTATAGAACGAATTTAAGAAGACAAATGTCATCTTAATATTGACTCTTCCAACCCATGAAAGTGGTATATGCCTCCATTTCAAATTTTCTCAGCAATTTTTTGTTTTCATTGTGTAGATTTTGCATGTTTGTTGTTAGATTTACCCTTAAATATTTCATGTTGATGTTATTATAAATGGTAATTTCCCCCACACACACATACCAAAAGTGAAACTAAACATATTCCTGGGATAAACTGAACTGGTCACAATATATTCTGTTTATATATTATTGAAATTGATTTGCTAAAATTCTGCTGAGAATTTTTAGATTTATTTTTCTGGGATATTTATCTGTAGTTTTCTTGTAATGTTTTTGTCTGGTTTTGGAAATTCAGTAATACTAGCCTCAGAATGACTTTTGAAGTATATCCTATGCAGTTATCTGAGAGCTTTTTAGAATTTTTTTTTCATTCTTGAATATTTGTTAAAATTAATTTGGGTAGCCTATACTTTTCTTTGTAGGATAGTTATTAACTACAAATTCAATTTTCTAAACACTAAAGATACGTAATTTTCTTTGTGATAATTTTCTACTTGCAGTTTTATTAGATTTTTTGTTTCATGTATTTGAATCATATTTTTAGGGGCATAATGTTTTATGGATTAAAACATTATCATATATTCTCTAAGTGAATTGGTTCCTTTTCTTTATCCCTGATAATAATTTTTGCTCTAAAATCTGCTTTGGTATAAATATAGCTATTCCTTGATTAATGATACTATGGTGTGTCTTTTTTCCATACTTGTATTTTTGAAAAACTTTATTTAATATGGGTTTCTTGGAGTTGGCATATAATTTTATCTTTTTTAATCTAACAATTTCTGCTATTTAATTGAATTATTGAAATCATTTATATTTAGTGTGATTATTGAAAATAGTTGAGTTTAAATGTGTTGTTTTGGTATTTTCTATTTGTCACAATTATTCTTTGTTCCTTATTCCTTTTTCACCTATGAGGGATTGGGGTTTTTTTTTTTTTTGTGACACCACAATTGAGTATTATCTGAAATGGTTGAGACTGGAATTGCTTTAGATTTTGGATTAAAAAAAAAAAATGTGTCTACATAATGAGATAACTTGGGAATGGAATTCAAGTCTAAACATGAAATTCATTTATATTTCATATATACCTTAACACATAACCTGGAAGTGATCTTATTCAAAGTTTTAGTGCACTTGTTTTTTGATTTCCACCTGTCACATGAGGTCAGGTGTGCAGTTTTCTACTTATGGTGTCATGTTGGCACTCAGAATATTTCGATGTTGAAGCATTTTGAAATTAAGGTTTTTGAATTAGGGATGTTTAACCTGTATTAAGATCTGTTTTGGGGACTGGGGTTGTAGCTCAGTGGTAGAGTGCTTGCCTAGCATGTGTGAGGCACTGGGTTCGATTCTCAGCACCATATACAAATAAGTAAATAAAGGTCCTTCAATAACTAAGAAAAAAATTAAAAAAAAAAAAGATCTGTTTATACCTACAGAACACTTGTGACATCCCATGTTGTGTGGGTTCTTGCCACACTGACATCCTATTCTTCAGATCTATCAGTGGGATGCCCCTACAATTCAGTTAAATTCTCATGCTGTCTACCTGGAGTTTATGTCATTACTCTAGGTTTAATGACTCAGTCCAATATGATTGTCCCCACTCCAGGTGCTAATCCCATACTATGTGAAGTACTGCTTCACTTGGTGGTAAACTAATAGATAAAATATATATACTGTGAATCCCAAAGCAACCTCTAAAAAAACATAAAAAATTATAGTTAATGAAATGATTAAGGAAATAAGATGGGATCTGTGAGGCTGGGGTTATGGCTTAGTTGGTGGAGTGCTTGCCTAGCATGGGTGAGGCACTAGGTTCAATCCTCAACACCACATAAAGATGAATGAGTGAAATAAAGGTATTGTGTCCATCTGTAACTAAAAAAAATATTTTAAAAAAAGATGGTATCTGTGAACATATATTTCCTCTCTGTACCCAGTTCCTGGTACAGAGTTTGTAAAACCTTTGTAACTTGCATCTTTTACAATATTTGATCTTGGTCCTCCATTCCTCCTATTAGACCTTGTAAGACCCTTACAGTCTCTGGACCAATGAGTATCTTTGTATGTTAATAAGATGACTTGGCAGCTGGAGTCCTTAGATAACTTCAGGATGGGAGCTGATTGTCAGAATAACCAACCAAGTGATCAGAGGGCTGGAACTTTCACTCTCTTCCTCCTGGCCACCAGGGAGGAAAGAAGGGCTGAAGACTTGAGTTCAGTCACCAATGGCCATTGATTTTATCAGTCATGCCTACATAATAGAAATACCATAAAAACCCTACGACAGTATTTTTGGAGTTTCTAGGCTGGTGAATTCATAGAAGGTGTGCCAGAGAGGTATATGGATGCTTTGTGCCCTATCACCTCCCCCTATCCCAGTACTTTGCCCTCTATAGCTCTTCAGTGCAGCTTTTCCTGAGTTAAACTTTCTGAGATTCCCCCATTGATGCCTGAAACTGCACGTAATACCGAACCTACCCATATAGTGCTTTTTCCTGTACATATATACTTAACGGATTTAATGCTTTTTTCATCTTAAGTAAGTACTTACTATGCATTGGGGCCATAATTTTTATAGTTTGAAGTACAGCAGCAAAATAACATGGATTTCTTTCTCTTTCACAATTTCATGAATAGATTTCTTCTTACTGTGGATCTTAACAGCCTCATTTTTTTTCCCCCTTTAACTAAGTTGAGAACTTTCACCTTTTCAATGAAAGGAAGCACTTTTTTTTTTAGTTCTCGGCAGACACAACATCTTTGTTTTTTGCATGTGGTGCTGAGGATTGAACCCGGGCCTCACGCATGCTTGGCAAGCGCGCTACCGCTTGAGCCACATCCCCAGCCCCAAGGAAGCACTTTTATAGTTTTCCTTTGGCATATCTGAATTCCCTGCATTACTACTTTTGTACTTTAGGACCATTGTTAAGTTAAATAAGGGTTATATGAATGCAAGCAACAGCATTTAAGTTGATGACTATTTTCTTATTTTGTTTTACTTCTAAGGAAGTGGGAAAACTCTTGCCTTTGCCATCCCAATGATTCATGCAGTGTTGCAGTGGCATAAGAGGAAACCTTCACCCATCCCAAGTAACACTGGAGTGCCACTTGGAGAGACTTCGGCTGGAACTGAGACTGGATCACCAAGTGAGGCCACTACTGGGTCTGGAATGTTGCCTGATGAGACAGTAATTGAGAGTGAAGCTCTGCTCCCTGAGGCTGGAACTGAGGTCGGAGGCAAGATCAGTGCCTCAGTCTCTGACCAGGCACCATTCTGTGATGATGATGCTGGTGAAGGCCCTTCTTCCCTGATCACAGATAAGCCTGTCCCCAAACAGAATGAGGACAAAGAGGAAAAGCTTGATGAAGAGCAGACTGGAAAGTTAAAACAGGAGTTGGTAGATAGCAAAATTGCTCCCTGTAAATCACATCCAAAGCGTCCTCTGCTTGGCCTGGTTCTGACTCCTACTCGAGAGCTGGCCGTCCAAGTCAAACAACATATTGATGCTGTGGCCAAGTTTACAGGTGAGGTTTAGTTTCATTTAATATGTTTCCTGAGCAAATCCACATGCCAGGGATGAAGATGAATAAGCTGCCATTCTTGTCAGCTAGGAGAAACCTTTCTCCTGGAATTAAGCCCTAAAGAAAATTAATTGAGTGACATTTTCTCAGTCCTCCCAACAGTACTACATAGCTTAAGTCATTCTAGATACATAGGAAAACAGTTAATATGTTGGATATAATGGATGCTTAGGTCAGGGGTTAGCAACACAGCTTGCTATAGTAAGTAAAGTTTTATTGGAACATAACTGCACCAGGGGTTACATATGGTTTGTGGCTGCTTTTGTACTATAAAGACAGAGCAGAGTAGAGTTAGTTATGACAGACCATCTGGCCAGTGAGGTTGCTAATGACTCCCCCCCTCCCAAAGTTTGGTGACCCATGCCTTAGAGTAAGACCTTAATTTTCTCAGGGGGCTCCTTTGAGGAAGGAGATTTACAATGGAAATTTGGTTATCAAGTTGTCGTTATTCACGCTTTATCTGCATTATCCTCTGTTCATTCGTTTGTTGAATACTGTGAGAAGTCCTCCATTAGAGAGAAAAACAGCGCACTAGGCATTAGAGGAACTTCACATTAATGCTAATGAGGGGAATGGGAAGGGTTTTCAGAAGGTATGTCAGAGCTGCAGGTAACATCTTTCCCAGCATTGTAGTGCAGCACTGCTCATGTTTCCCAGAGCTTGACTGGGTTCAAATCCAGACCTTCTGTTGTGATTGGAGGGAGGAAGTAGAAAAAAATGAGATTGGAGAAGTAGGCAGGCCCAGGTCACAGAATACTTGGATAATTCCTTTAGGAGTAGGTTCAGCACTCAGGCCAGTACTATCTTTTAGCACTTCTGGAAGTGGGGGGCAGTTCTGGTGACTGGGCCATTCTGGGGGTGCTATATTAGCCATGTAAAAGAATAAGCAGCCAGACTGAATAATAGCATCCCTATGTTTTCTGTCCTATAGGAATTAAAACTGCTATTTTGGTTGGTGGCATGTCCACACAGAAACAGCAGCGAATGCTGAACCGCCATCCTGAGATTGTGGTGGCCACTCCAGGTCGGCTGTGGGAGCTAGTTAAAGAAAGGCACCCTCATTTGAGCAACCTTCGGCAGCTCAGGTGAGAAATGGTACCTCTTCCTTTCTACTTTACCCACTCTGAAGTGAGCCTGAGGTGACATGATGCTATGTGCAATGCCTTCTCCCTGTCAAAAGAATGCCACAGGATAGTACCAGCCAGGCCTAGGCCTTTAGAGAGCCAAGCATGCAAAGGGAGGCCCTGGTAGTGACGGTGGGGTGCCTGCATGTGTGAGTGTGTGTGTGGTTGGGGTAGGAGTAGAGTACTGCTGTATGATTTCTGTGACCCACCACCAACCAGTGATGTGGCTCTTTCTGGATCTACAGGTGCCTGGTAGTGGATGAGGCTGACCGAATGGTTGAGAAAGGTCATTTTGCTGAGCTCTCACAGCTGCTGGAGATGCTTAATGATTCCCAGTATAATCCAAAGAGACAGACACTTGTTTTTTCTGCCACACTGACACTGGTACATCAAGCTCCAACTCGAATCCTTCATAAGAAGCACATAAAGAAAATGGACAAAACTGCCAAACTTGACCTCCTCATGCAGAAGATTGGCATGAGGGGCAAGCCAAAAGTCATTGACCTCACAAGGAATGAGGGTACAGTTGAGACACTGACGGAGACCAAGATCCATTGTGAGACGGACGAGAAAGACTTGTATCTGTACTACTTCCTGATGCAGTATCCAGGTCGCAGCTTAGTGTTCGCCAACAGCATCTCCTGTATCAAACGGCTCTCTGGGCTCCTCAAAGTCCTGGATATCATGCCACTCACCCTGCACGCCTGCATGCACCAAAAACAGAGGCTCAGAAATCTGGAGCAGTTTGCCCGTCTGGAAGAGTAAGTCAAGAGCCTGTCTCCATGGGCTGGGGATATAGCTTAGTTGGTAGAGTGCTTGCCTCGCATGCATAAGGCTCTGGGTTCAATCCCTAGCACCACCAAAAAATAAAAGCCTGTTTCCAGAGACTGGGCCAGAGGGCCAGGCTGGTAGGGAGAACAGTGGAAGCTACTTTCTGTCATAAAGTCTTTATCTATAGAAGGTAGTTTGTTTTGTCGCTCAGTCCCGCACAGCATTGGCAAGGTCACCCTCATTTAGTATTTGGTTGCTATTAATGTCTTACAGAAACTTTCAAAGAGTAGGTGATAACCTACTCTTATTGAACACACAGACATAGTCTTGTGCTGGCACTTTAGATGCATCTCCCCATTGTTTTACTTATCTTAACATCCTTGAGAATCAGCAGAATAAATTCTGCCAAGAGCAGAGACTTTGCAATCAGAATACCTGGGATCAAATCTTGGCTCCTTTACTTGTATATGGTCGAGTTTTTTAACTTCTCTATGCTTCATTTTCTCATTATTAGGATAATAATAGAAAGTACCTCAGGGTTGTTATAAGGATAAGGTGGTTGAAAATTTGTTCATGTAAAATGTTTGGAACAGTTTCTGGCATATAGTATGTGCATACTAAATATTATCTTTAATAATTGCTAGTCCAGCTGTCATTTGTTTTCATTGTCACTATTTTCATTTTATAAATGAAAAAAAAAAAATGAGATATAGAAAAGCTGATCCACTTACCCAAGTTTTTTCAGCCTAGAAGTATAGAACTGGGTATCAGACAAGTCTGTCAGACCCTAGGGCACATGTCGTTTGTCATTTGCCTCATTCACTTCTCTGGAGGAACCGGGGGGCCTTATGTCATCACAGAGTGTAGCATGTTAGTCGGGTCAGTGGGATCCAGATTTGGATCCTGGCCTATGCACCTGAATAGACCTGTCTGTACCTTGGGAAGCTAATTTTTCTGAGCTTCAGTTTCTTTACATGTAAAAGGAGACAATAGTATTATCTTGTAGGGTGGTTGTAAGGATTATGGAGTGCTCAGCAGATAGTGGGAATTTAAATAATGATTGCTTTTAGTTATAAATGTGCTTTCCATCTCCACCACAGCTGCGTTCTCTTGGCAACAGATGTGGCAGCCCGGGGTCTGGATATTCCTAAAGTCCAGCATGTCATTCATTACCAGGTAGGGATATCTGGGGGTTTGAAAGCATCTTCCTACATTGAATGGGGAATTTAAAGCAAAGTTTGGAGGAAGGAGGAGAAATTATTGTTCTGAGGCCTCCACAACAGGTAATAACCACTAGCATCTAAAAACCACTGATGTCACTGATAAGATTCAGTCTCAGAAGTTGTAGTCCAATGTCAAAGAGCCCTTCCCTCCAAGCTACTTAATATCATCAAGTTAGAATCTTAGTGTTTTCCATGCAATGGAAAATATATAAGTTAAGTTTTCTGTTGCTATTATAGAATACTTCAGACTGGGTAATTTACAAAGAAAAGCAGCTTGTCTTGGCCCATGGTTCTGGAGGCTAGAAATAGAAAGTCCAGTATCTGTTCAGCTTCTGTTTGGGAGCCTCAAGGTGGAAAGGTGTAATAAGCAGGCAGCATCTGCAAAGGGAAAACAGAATAGAGACAACCATGCTTTGTAACAACACATTTTAGTCCCTTGCAAGCAAGAACTCGTTCCCTTGAGATGGCATTAATTTGTTCATGAAACCTCCACCCAAACACTTCCCACTAGGCCTCACTTCTAACACTGCTGAACTGAGGAATTAAGACACAACTTGAGTTTTAGTAGAGACAAACCATGTTCAAACATGTCAGCATATCGAATGGTTACCCTGATGTAGAAAAGTGTGAAAGTATTGTAGTTATGATCTCCTTTGGCTTAAATCCCATCTTTGTAACCCTGAACAAGATATTTAATCTCTCCGTTCCTCAGTTTTCTTTTTTGTTAAATGACAATTATTGTAGTATCTAATTTGTAGGATTCTCATTAAGGTAAAATAAGGTAATTCATGGAAAGAGTTTAGGAAACCACCTGTCACATCAGAAGCACTTACTAAATGTTAGCATATGTTGGTAGTAGCAGAGATATTAGTGTAAGCTTGTAGTTGTGGCTAGGAGTATGTGTTCCAAAGCCAACTGCCAGGTTTGCATTCTCCACACTCATGCCTCATAGTTGACTGGCTTGGGCATATTATTATAGTACTCCTGTTGCAGAATCATTGTAAAATGGAACTAATAATGCTGCCTGCCAGAGAGGGTGGTTATGAGAACTGAATCGAGCTGCTGATGAAGCACCTATAGTGTAAGTACTCGATAAGTGGTAGTTATTATGATATCTTTATTATTATTTTTCCTCTTTTAATTCTTCTTTGCTCTTATAAAAATATTTTAGGGTACTAGTTTCAGTTTAGCAAATCTCTGCTTCTGTTTGGGGAAGGGGCTATGGGTTAGTCTTTGTGGGAAATACCAAGGTGAACCTAATACAGCATCAGTTCTTAGGAGGTGTCAAGTCTAGCAGAACGAGTAGATGGCCATCACTGTGATTTAAGGCAAAAGGTATTAGAAAAGAGGTAATTTCTAGTTTGGGAGATGGGAAAGTGCTTTCCAGAGGTGCGTGGCATTTAGTTCAGAGGACATTGGGCTAGAGTTTAAAGAGGGATATGTTTAGAGAGGAGTACTTGAGTAGTTGCTGAGGATGGAAGGAAATGCACTGGGGGCAGGTCACTGAAGGACTTTTATCCTGTAAGTGAAGAATGGCAAATAGATCTTATTTCTAGAGCCATTAGGAGCAGATCATTCTAGAATTTTGTATTGAAAACAATACTGAAATGCAATCTGGGCCCAGTGGAGAAGACTCTGTGTTTCATTAATGGTGTTTGCCTTGAGGCTGGGGGAGAGAGGGGTGTCAGCACCATGCCACATTATCATGGGTAAACATCCGGTATATGTTGGAATAGAGGCAGTGTAGCCTAAGAGCATGGTCTTTACTGCTGAGCTGCTTCATAATAAATCCCGACTCCACCACTTAGGTGACCAAGGGGGGGTTGTTTTGATCTCTCTGGGTTAGATTCCTGGTCTATAAAATGTGGATAATCATAAAGTATTTCATATTGTTATTATAAGGAATAAATGGGATAATACATGCAAAGTGCTTAGAATTTTCTGGCACAATGCAGCTACTCAATAAATGTTGGTGTTAGTACCATCAGTCAGTCACCTGTGCAAAGTTAACGAAGAACCTGTGGAGTTTCTTTAGCTGGAAGAGATTATGATCAGAGATGAGACTCAAGAAGATGACACTGTCAGCTCAGTCCAAGGCAGGAGCAGTAGGAGTATGGAGGACTAGAGATCAAATAAGAAGGGACTGTCATGGTCTACCTGAGTAGGCAGAAGGACCTGAGCCAGGGTAGGGGGCATGGTAGAGCAAAGCATGCACAATGAATGGGCTAATCCTAGGGACAGTTTGAATGTGGGCCTAAGGGAGAAGGTTCGTGATGCTAGAAAGATTTCTACCTACCTGGCTGGCTTGGAGGAGGGTTTGGTTTGGGGATCTGGCCATGAGGGGAAGAACAGTATTTGGCACCAGGTGTTGACCCCAGTTCCTGCTTGGCAGGTCCCTCGCACCTCAGAGATTTATATCCATCGAAGCGGACGAACTGCTCGAGCCACAAGTGAAGGCCTAAGCCTGATGCTGATTGGGCCTGAGGATGTGATCAACTTTAAGAAGATTTACAAAACCCTTAAGAAAGATGAGGACATTCCACTGTTCCCTGTGCAGACAAAATACATGGATGTAGTCAAGGTAAAAGAAAAAAATTCAAACCCCAGTGCTAAGAGGGAACCCTCTACTCCTCACAGAGCACCTTACCTGAGATTCCAGCATCCTTACTCTTGGAAACCAAGGTTATGTCCTGCACACAGCTGAATGGGGGAATCTGTGAAAAGGGAGAAAAGGGGAGTGACCAAAGGTATGAGGTATATTCTCCCTCATCCATTTTTTTCACTCTGGTCCCAGGTCACACCTCCATCTCTACTAGAGAGTGCAGTGGGCTTGGCCAAATGGGTTTCCTATCAGAGGGCTGTGAGCAGCAAGTTAAATGTGTCTCATTGAAGTAGATACTAAAGATTTTGGGGGGCTGGTTATGTGGCTTAAGTGGTAGTGCGCTCGCCTGGCATGCGTGCGGTCCAGGCTCGATCCTCAGCACCACATACAAACAAAGATGTTGTGTCCGCCGAAAACTAAAAAAAATAAATTAAAAAAAAAAAAAGAAAAAGATTTTGGTACATCCTTGAAACAGAAGCCAGTAAATCCTGCCTTGGAAGTTCATGCTAACTCAGTGGCACACATTTGTGAGTGATGCTTACTGTGGACCACAGTGTGTCAGGGACCAAAGCAAAGTGGGTTCTCCCCAGGAGTTCACCAGCCTGTGAGCAGGCCTGTCCGTGCTAAAGTTCAGGTACCAATGGAGCACTGTGGTGTTAGTTGGTATGTGGCTACTGAGGGACCAAAGGCATTGAATGGTTCAAGGACTGGTGTCTACTCTGGCTCCAAAGGAATATTAGCTCTGTGGGGAAAGGTGGGGGATGATGGAAAGGTAGAATTCAAAGAGAATTCCTTATAAGGAGGACTGAAAGCCACCCTTGCTTTTCTTGGTTCTTGACTCCTGCATTACATGATCTCTCCCATTTGGGGAGGACAGGGAAAGATTCTTGTCACTGTAGTCTAACCCCAAAATTATGAGGAGAGTTGTAGAACTAGCTGTGGCCTCTCCCCCTACCTGTAGGTTGGCAGTTGGGTTGGGCTGGACTTCCAAGGAGACATTTAGGGTTTATCCTTGGGAGAGCTGAGGCCTGTGATTGGATATGTGCATGTGTGTATAGTGATTGCCCTCTGGGCTTTTATCAGGTTTATCAGGAACCCAAGCAGATGCACTTCAGTAGGAGCTGAGCTGCATCTCTCTGACCACTTATCTCAGGAACTTTTGAGGGGTAGGTGGATTGTGCCTGGGATTGAACTCAGGAACTCGACCGCTGAGCCACATCCCCAGCCCTATTTTTTATTTTATTTAAAGACAGGGTCTCACTGAGTTTCTTAGCACCTCTTTTGCTGAGTTTGGCTTTGAACTCATGATCCTCCTGCTTCAGCCTCCCAAACCACTGGGGTTATAGGCCTGTGCCACTGTGCCCGCTGGAAATACAATTTCAGTGAGACTTTGCTTCCCACAGACCTGAACTCCCATCAAATGAATACTGTGTTCCTTTCCCCCAGGAGCGAATCCGTCTAGCTCGACAGATTGAGAAAGCCGAGTACCGGAACTTCCAGGCTTGTCTGCACAACTCTTGGATTGAGCAGGCAGCAGCTGCCCTGGAGATTGAACTGGAAGAAGAGATGTATAAAGGTAAGTCCTTTGGGCTGGATGGGAGTTAAGGAAGGATTCAGCTTTTCCTTTTATCCCTCAGCTTTTGCCTTGTCAGAACCATCTATACTGCTGTGAGCCCTGTCAGAATCAGCAGAGCCCTTTCCTCCTTTGCTGGTGGTCCCTAATCCCAGATGAACTGGATGTCCTTGGCCTGTCTGTTCCTGTCTCACCTGTCTGGAGCTCTAACTGCCTGCGTCCTGCATTGGACATGCATAGTGCAGGGATCAGGCCCTTTCATCAGGCAGCCCATGTTTGCTGCCAGCCCATTCCCTTAACTGACTATGTGACCAGTCAAGCCTCTCTGCTGTATCTTACTTTCCTCATCTATAAAATGGAGGTAATAAACTACCTCATAGGATTGAAGATTGATTAAGGAGTATAAAGTGTGTATAACAGAGCCTGGCAAACAAAGTCTATGATACTTCTTAAGTTATATTTATCATTATGATTACTACTATACCTATCTTCCACACTGACAAAGCATTTCTGTGTCACCATCTCCTTTGATCTTGTCCACAAGATTGATGGCATGAATAAATCAGAATTACTAGAGGCTCACAGAAAGAGGGGATTTGTGTTGTGAAACAGCTTCCCCACCAGCAGTGCCTGAGCCCCCTCTATATGGATTCAGACTGTGGGTCTGCACAGTCCCTGCTTAGGAAAACTTCAGAGTCTCAGAAGCAGAACCGCATCTAGAATTGATGGCACCAAGGTTCCTTCCATCCCATCAAGGATGCAGCTGAGCTGAGTTGATGGCATCCTAGTGTCAGAGGCCGCAGCTTCAGAAACAAGCTTACTGCTGTCCTTTCATGGAAGCCAGGAACCAAAGCATTGGTTGTGATGACAACAAGCAAGTTCTTGTAGCTCAGGCCTGGGGTTTAGGTGAAGGTGTGGAGGCCCTGGCCTTCCCTCCTGAGGACATGACAGGGATAGAGTCCTTTGGCTAGGCCCACCTCTGCACATGCAGTCCCAGCACTGGGTGAAGTGCAGGAGGGCCAGGCTGCAGAGAAATATTCACTGACTCCTGAGGGATTGGTGGTACCAGTCATGTTGCCAGGCCCCAGATGGGCAGTAAGTGGAGGCAGGAAGGAAGCCCATCTGCCGCTGGAGTCTTGCATTCTGGTCTGTTTGCCAGCTAGCTCTGTTTCCGTAGGCAAGTGACCCCTCTAAATCCAAGCAGCCTTTTCTGTAAAATGAAGATGATTTCTTTCTTAGAAGGGTTTTATAAGGAATAAAGGACAGGTGGTCCTGTGTATTCCTCCTAAACAGAAGTCCACGCTATTCACAGATCCCATCAAGCTAACTTGCCTTCCTAAAAGATTCTGGAAGGTTTACATTTTTTATTGTATTATCCATTGAAGGAAACATGCTTCTGTGCATCCTAGTAAATATGAGCTTGTTTGTGTTCCCTCCAGGAGGAAAAGCTGACCAGCAAGAAGAGCGTAGGCGACAAAAGCAGATGAAAGTCTTGAAGAAGGAGCTTCGTCACCTGCTCTCCCAGCCATTGTTCAAAGAGGACCTGAAAACCAAGTATCCCACTCAGTCTGGCAGACTGCCCCAGCTCACAGCTGCCCCAAGGACTGGCGAGTCAGCACTGAGCTGCCTCTCCAAACAGAAGAAGAAGAAGAAGAGGCCAAAAGAGCAGCAGCAAGGACTGCCGCAGCCAAGTACAAGTGCAGAGTAACTGCCCCTGGTCAGTGTTGGTGTCTGCACATGGTGTCTGTTCTCTGGTTGTATGCGAAAAGCTTCTTCCCACCCTTGTGCTTCACTCAGTTTCAACCCATTAGGAAAATTTCCTGCTCTTTCCCCATAGCAGGAGGGGTCTCAGGCAGGTTTACATTGTTTTGGAGTAAATCCTGCATAGCAGCTTGTTGTTCTGTATTCCAGTGTATACAGGCTTCTTATGTGTCACAGGCTTCTTTGATTTCCTGAATTAAAAACAATGGTCAGAGACAGAATGTCTTCTTATATTTGTAGCCAGGAAATGGGGTGTGCAGTTTCCTAATTAACTCAGTGGTTCCCCTGGGTCAGCACAGTGCTAGTTCCTGGAGAGGGTGGGAACCGTATCGTAGGCCTTGGCAGCTGGTCACTGGAGCACATTGCTCTGAGACCTCAGCACATATTCCTGCCCTTGGCCATAGCGGCACCCTACCAGCCACCTAGCTCTGGGCCATTCCCTGCTGGCCAAAACAGCTTTCCCCTCAACCTGGATGCCTGTGCACTCTCCACCCTGCTGTGTCCTCCAGGAGCAGCAATGCTCTCCCTGCAGTGCACTTCAGTGCCCTGGTCCCTCCTCAGAGCACCTGCTGTAGCATTCCCTGGGCTGAGGTCCAGGGCGACTGGGCCCTTGAGGCTTGCATCAGACCTGGTGTAAATTTGTGCTGAGGGAACGAATGTCCTGGTGCTGTCCCAGCTTTGCCCAGGGTCATTCCCTACGGGAGCACCCATAGCTGCCACAACATAGGAGGAGCACAGATCTCTGCACAGCTCATCTGGATGTTCACGCAGAGCACACCTGCTTGGTCCACGGGGCCCTATGGGTTTGAAGAGGGTACACAAGAGGACCCTGGCCTCCCTCAGCCTTGAAAGTTTGGGAGGATGGCAGCAGGATTCCCTGAGCCCCTCTGGATAAATGACAGGACACTTGGCCTTATGCCTGAACAGATTCAGGTAGCACTGTCAACTAAGTGCCAGCTGTTATTAGATGCTTTTTATCTATTTTGATTATCAGTTCAGTCTTCCTTAAGGCCAAGGCAAAGCTTAAGTGAGGAATCTGAGGCTACGCTCAGGGCCACACAATAGCCAAGTGGGATTAGAACCGGAGAGCATCTGCCCTCTGGACACAGGGCAGGTTCAGAAAACTGCTTTTTTCTTGGGAAACAGCAGTGTCACCAGGGAATACACCTTCCTGGCTCCCAGTGTCAACTGGTGACCTGAGCAGGAGGAGAAAGCGCCCCTTTGTGGGAGGTCATCTCCTGACATGTGTCAGAGAGCAGGGGAACTCCACTCTCCAAATGAGGCAGACACAGTGGGGTCAATAAGCAGGTTTAAGGTGCCTGAGGAGCACCTGGGCCATGGGAGGCCTAAGGCCATTGTCATAGGCCAGACATAGATTCTTGAGAGAGCCAGCTTTCCAGGCTGTTCTCTCAGCTGGTGTGGAGAGGTTTGGGAGAGATCATGTGGGCAGAGCCTCCCGAGTGTCCTGGACCACCCATTAAATAAGGAACATTCCTCCTGCATAGTTCACTCCAATACAGAGCCCTGTAGCAGGGTGGTATAGCCCTTGGGGACATGCCAGGTACTCAAAATAAAGAAGCTGGGACAAAAGTTGTTTATGGAAAACATTTTAATGTTAGGAAACTTTTCACTGGCTGCCCAGGGAAGCAGCAGGGTATGACCTCTGAGCATTCACTGGGCCACAGCCCCTGCCTCCCACTACTGCTCATGGTGGCAGCGTGTTGGCTTAGACTTGTCTGATGGTTCCCCTGATGTTCCTACTGTTGGGGAAGCCACAGTCACTACCAAGGTGGCAGGTTTCCCCATCTAGCAGTGCTCTGCTCCCTGTGTCCCATGGGTAGAGCACCGACAGGTCAGGTGTGACATGTTTTCATATACGTGATTTCACCACTGTGATACCTGCTGTCTCTCTTGCAAATGTGAGGATGAGCTCAGAGAGGTGAAGAGACTTGATCAAACAACACAAGTGATGAGAGGCACAGCTGGGATTTGAACCCAGGTGTCAGGTTTTAGAGCCCTTTCATTTGTGCTTAAAATGGGAAACCAGCCCAAAGCACGCACACTGCTCCTCCTGTTGCTAAATAGTTCCCTTCAATTATTTCCTCTGGAAAAAAAGCATACACATGCAGTTGTAATTCACACCCTAAAAGCAACTTCCTTCCACCATTTGGTCTGGAAAGAGGCGGCTCTGTGGGGACAGCAGGTCACCCAGGAAGTGGGGGTGCCAACCTGACACCATTCAGACAAACCAGGTGACCACATGGCTTCCTGAGTCTTGCCACGCCTCTTCCTCCCCAGTTCTTTCCCTGAGACAAAGGTCTGAGGGAAGATGTGGAGGCAATGAGGGCAGGTGGTTTGAATTTGGCCGGTGAGTTTATGTAAAAGGAGAAAACCAGAGGATACGACCACGGAGATGACATGACCTGCTTCTGCCAGACTGTGGGCATCCTGATCCTAACTGGCTGATTCTCTCCTAGAAAAGGGCCCAGTGCAGCTCTGTGCAGCTCACCTGACCTTGGCCTGGAAACCAAGGTCAGGTGAGCCACACAGAATATCACAGCCACAAAAGCAGTGAATTGGTAGCTACGGCTGGCTTCTGCTGTGCTTAAGAGCTCAGCTGGAGTGCCCAGGACCCATCTCACAACCCCCTGGAGCGGCCTGGGTATTAGCCAGCATCGTGTGTTCATGCCCTTCAGTGTGGAAAAGGACACCCTGGGATCTTGTCTGGCAGATGATACCAGAAGATACACCGAGTCTTGTAGTACTTGTCTTGGGTACTTGTCCTACCCAGAGCAGGGTGGGTTACAACAAATATAGAGATGACAGTCAGGTGGCATCCTGTGAAAGAGGGACATAATCACTTAGCTTGAGCCCGTGAGTCCAAATGCCAATGAAGGACAGTGGGAACCAGGGCCCACTTGGAACTAAAGCACCCCAACTCTGAGAATGCTGCTGGCTTTCATCAAGGCAAGAGTGATACAAATGTGACGATTGTGTCAAGACTTAGGAGTCTGCTGCCCAGTCCTGCGTAGACTGTCAGCAGACTCCCTCAGTAGCACCAATAGATTCTAACAAATCCCTGCACAATGAAACCTGTGAGAAAATGGCCTTCGATTAAATAGGGACCCCAGAAGGTGATTCTACACCCTCTGTCTCCCTGTAATCCTGCAGCAAACAGGTGGTTAGCAGCACCACAAACCAGCCAGTGTCATTATGCTCCACTGCTGGGGCGTTGCCTGCCAGTCTTGGGGGGGGACTCATAGGGGTCCTGGGGCAGCAGGGCGAGGAGCTTCCTAAGTGGGGGGCATGTCCAGGTGGACGAGTGAAGAAGCTGCTAGCCAGGGCTGCCAGGCCATCTTCACCAAGGAAATCTCCTGCCAGCGTCCACAGCTGCTCTTCTGTTCTCTCCCACCAACCCCTGGTCAGGCCATAAAGAAAACGGGTGGGAGGAAGGAGCCAAAGACTGCCTTGCAAAATGACTGTTCATCTGGAGTCCACAGCTGCAAGCTCCCCTTCCTTGATGTAATCTAGGACTTACTGGGGCTGGCAGGACACTTGCGGCTTCCTAGTCCCAGCCATGTACACACAGATTTGGGTGCAGACCCTAGACTTCATCTAGTCTTTAAAAGCCAGGCTGTTCTCCCCTGAGAGGTAGAGGGACTCCAACAACCTGAGTTTCATTCTGAAGGCTAAAGGCCCTTTGCTGGACTTTGGTATAAAAGTCTCTCTGTAAGTGAAGGGTGGGAAAACAGGCCCATCATGAATGGAAGGAACCACAAGGAAGCCCTCACCTTCAGTCAGCCATCCAGCAAGCCCAGCCTGACAAGACTGGACTGACCTTGACAGCTTCAGGTCAATCACCAAGTCAATAGCTGACTTGAGGTTTGCCTCCTGGACCTGGCAAGGAGAAACACGAGTTCCTCGTTTTTACACAACAGAATGTCCACACTGGCAGGAACCTCCTCCAGATGAACAAACAGGTCCAAAGAGGGCAGGTGACCCACACAGGGTCTCACGGTTACTGGCTGGCATGCGGAGCCAGGGATCCTAGCTTTCTGGCCCAGAGTTAGAAGGTATTTGATCCTTCATAAAATAAATACAAAAAATACACGAAGTTACCACCATCCATAGTGGGCAGGCCTCATTCCCATGGCTCTGCCCAAAAGGCTGTACATGTTCTAGTTAGAGTCCAAATCGCTTAAAAAACTGAAAAGCCGGCATGTTCCATTTAGAGTGCAGTCCCGTGAGGTGAAGGTTCCACTGCGTGGCCTAAAGTTAATCAATGTTTATCAGCTGCATAGAGGATGTTGTAGTGGGATGTTTTATAGAGCAGGTACACGGAAGGGACGGCGGCCTCGGGGAACACGTGGTGGTTCAGGGCGGTGTCCATCTCGTCCACATATTCCACTTGCAGGGCGATGTTCAGCGCCTGGGACAGGGCTGTGATCTGGATGTGGTCACATTCCATGGCCATGGGCTCCACTTCCTGCAAAGCCAAAATGAAAAACAAACCAGCTTAAGAGGGAGGCCCTGTAGAGGACGGGTGGGTTCAGCCTTGGCTCTCTGGGCCACGGTTACAGCCTCTGTGCTGGGACAGGATCTCACAACCATGCGTGAGGTAGGAGCTGACCTCACTGCAGAGGAGGCTGAGGCCCTAGAGAAAGCGACTCAGTGGGAGATCACTGGAGCTGCAGATACGGAATTCCAAATGAGGAATCTGAAAAGGGGGCTGGAACTTTTCAGGTTGTCATCAAAGATTCAGGGATGAAAGGACCCTGTCATCAAAGGCTTCCAGGCCAAAGTGCTCAGGGAGACAGGCCAGAGGGTGGGTGGGTGAGTATCTGAGTCTGGATGCTGACGAGGCCATGGAGAAAGGCAGTAGAGGTGGCAGATGTGTCCCACAGAGAGGCCAGCTGCTACTTAGGGCCTACTGCTGTTGCCATGAAGAGTTAGGGCCTCGGGCTTGATCTTCTGATTTTTTAGAGACATCCAGATATTCATATAAAAATTACCCAATTGTTAAATACTGGCCCCTCCTTCAGAAAAATACACCGTTAACCAAAAACATATCTGGGGGCCAAGGTGACTCTGAGATTTTGTAAACAGGCTGGTCCAAAGCCCTGGTTTTCCAGGGGGAAATGCCCAGGGTGGGAAAGTGACTTGCCCTAAGTCACCTGGATCAGGCAGCTCCAGGAGGCCCGAGTGCTGCTGCGAACCC